GTACATAAGTTGTTTGTCCTTCGTATGTTTTTATTCTTTGCTAAACGTTTCGGTACTAATAGCACCTTCCTCAGTAGCAGTTTAAAAAGAAAGATAATGTACAAATCTAATGTTCTTAGATAATAATCTTAGATTTGTACATTATCTTTCTTTTTAAACTGCTACTGAGGAAGGTGCTATTAGTACCGAAACGTTTAGCAAAGAATAAAAACATACGAAGGACAAACAACTTATGTACATACATTTTACTAACTTTAGTCTGTGATATTGAGATCTCTATAGCTTAAAAACTAAAAGAGACCTTATTCCCAAAAACAGCTTGGTTAAGTTGTACTGTATTACAACTTATGTATACACCGACAGAATTCGTCACAATAGATGAACAGCTATTGGGATTCCGCGGTCGATGTCCGTCCTCATCGATTCGATCATTCTATTGTTCGTCATTTAAATACCAATTTACATCATCAAGACATTAAACAGAGATTACGTCATTTACACGTTCCATATGACCATTTTCGTCTCGATAAACATCGCAATCGTGTTGTTACTGGATTAAAAACAGATGCATTAGTTGCCCAGTTTAATGAAACAATTAGACATGATGCGTTTCATTAACTATCTATGAACTTTACTCTGATCAGGTTTTGTTTCCGTAGTTAAGTGTATTTTATTCCTTTGAAATACTTTCAGTGTTTTTGATGTGTCATATTAATATTTCCGTTGTCTTTTTCCAATATTTCTTCATTTCTACTTTGATCAAGCATTCACGTTACACTGTGCCATTTTGTCTCTATGATGTTTGTATTTTATCGTTTCTTCTTTCGAATTCATTTCTAATTCGACATGATATTTCGTAATTAGTAACATCAGCTAACGGAAACAGGTAAGGAGCGGTAGGCATTAGTAACAGTGACATTAACACAGTGATTAATTTTAGTATCTTTTTAGTTTCGTACACGTCTGACAGTGACCGTTTTGCATGCTGTGATTATTTTAGTCTCTTTTAGTTTTTTAACAACAGATGCATTGTATGTGCATCTGTTGATTTTACTAATTTTAGTTCTTTTAGTTTTCACAGTTTTCTATCTATAGCATCCATCAAATAAGTTTCCGGGTAGAGATCGCTTGAAAAGCCTAGTTAGACGTATGTCATAGGAACTGTCCGTCGTACCATCAGGGTTCGCACTTCTCGCATAGACCTATATAGGTTATTTCATGAACTTGAAAGAAGGTTATTTGAAGGATGCTTTTTGGTCTATTTTCGCGCAAAAAGGGTTTTCCAGAAACCCTCTCTAATAAATTTCTAAGCATTTGTTGATAGTCGAATTGGAATGCGCATAGTCGAAACCTATAAAGTTGAACAATTGTGCAAGTTTTAGCGCTTTGTAGTCCCCCAAAACCCTTTTCGAAAACCCTTGATGATCCGAAAAGTCGTCTATCGGAAGGAGCATACTCGAAAACCTATAAAACTGATCAATTTTGCCTTTTTCAGCGATTTTTAGGACCCAGAACAAGAAACGTTTTCTAGAAAACCCCGTTCAAAAACTTCTATAGTTCCGAAAAGGTGTCATTGGAAAGAGCATACTCGAAATCCTATAAACGCTTTGATTTGAGACAATTAAGTGCATTTTTCACTAAATTTCCATGTGCCTATTTAAAATTACCCACTGTGTGGAGGTGTTAAAACGAAAATTAGAAACATTAAAAATTAAGTTGTATTTCAGTTATCCAAGAAAACTGCATTCTCTAGTCACAACAAATGTTAAACCACAATCAATATCTGTGTTATATCAGATTGACTGTCAATATGGTTCTGTGTACAACGGTGAAACGAAGGTCGGAGTAGAGAAAAGAGCAGAACAACACAATAAATTAATCGAGGAGGATATAAAGCCTTTTTATATAAAGCCAAAATAGACGTATAGTATTTTAGTGTATTGTGACACCTCTGCTCGAAAGTGACTTCAGTCACTTTACAAAGTCTATCGAGTGTTTTCTCTTCAGTCCGAGTCATAGAATAATGCAACTGCTATACTCATCTCTAGCTTCCGCAGATTTGGTTTGATCTGATAATGCCGCAACAATGTTGTTATGTACAGTGACTATATTAGGATGATTTGAAGGAAGTGAAGTCGAATAAATTTCATGTGCCATTTTTAACACTTTCAATGCCTCAGAATAATCGCCTTGAGCTTGGTAAATCTCACCAAAGTTGTTGTAAACCTTAGCCAAATCAGGGTGAGTTGGTGGAACTGAAGCTGAATAAATTTCATGTGCCTTTTTTAAGACTTCTAATGCCTGCAAAAATTCGCCTTGCGCTTTGAAGACACTTCCCATGTTATTGTACGTGGTCGCCAGATAACAATGATTTGGTGGAAGTGAAGCCGAATAAATTTCATGCGCCTTGTTGTACATTTTTAATGCCACGGCATAATCACCTTGAGCTTGGTGAAGCTTACCAAAGTTGTTGTGAACCATACCCAAATCAGGGTGAGTTGGTGGAACTGAAGCTGAATAAATTTCATGCGCCTTGTTGTACATTTCTAATGCCGTGGCATAATCACCTTGGGCATGGTGAACTTCACCAAAGTTGTTGTAAACCATTCCCAAATCAAGATGGTCTGATGGAAGAATAGTGAATAAAATTTGACGTGTCTTTTCATACATTTCTAATGCCTGAGTGTAAGCACCAAGCTCATAGTGAACCAGACCAATGTTGTTGTAAACCATGGCCATATCGGGGTGATTGGATGGTAAAGAATACAGAAAATTGTCTAGTGCCTTGTTGTACATTTTTAATGCCTCACCATAATCACCTTGAGCTTGGCGAACCTCCCCAAAGTTATTGTATGCCTTGGCACAATCAAGGTAGTTTGGTGGAAGAGAAGAATTTAAAATTCCAAGTGTCTTCTCGAACATTATGATTGCTTTGGAATAATCGCCTCTAGCTTTGTGAACTCCACCAATTTCGTTGTATGTTGCGATTAAGTCAGGATGTTTTGGTGGACGAGAGCTCAAATAAATTTCATGAGCTTTATTATACATATTTAATGCCTCTGAATAATCACCTTGAGCCTTACGACCAAAACCAATGTTCCTGTACGTCCTAGCCAAATCAGGATGGTTTGGTGGAAGACAACTCAAATCAATTTCAAGTGATTTCGCAAACATTTCTAATGCCGCGGAATGATCACCTTGAGCTTGAAGAGCAAAACCAATGTTGCTGTACGTTACGGCCAAATCAGGATCACTGGGTGAAAGAGAGCTCGAATAAATTTCATGAGCCATATTATACATTTTTAATGCCTCCGGATAATCACCCTGATCTTGGTGAACCAAACCAATGTTGTTGTATGCTACTGCCAAATAACGATGATTTGGTGGGAGAGTGCGTAAGAAAATTTCAAGTACCTTGTTGTACGTTTTCAACGCCTCCGAATAGTGGCCTTGATATTTTTCAATTAAGCCAATGTTGTTCAGTATCTTTGCAATTTGTGTATCATCCGGCGGAATAATCGCTCTTTTGATCATCAATGCCTTTGCATAATATTTCCACGCTTTTCTGTAGGCACCTTTCTCCATGCAAGACTTTGCTAGGCTGTTGTAAATAGGAGCAATATAATGAAGATTCTTCCCCGCGGATATCTCTTTAAGTATTAATCGATAAAACGTTTTAGCTCGCTCCCACTCCCCCATTTCGATCATCAGCTTGCCCAAAGTGTACAAATCATCTCTTTCACGTATTTGTCGTGTGATGTAATCCCTTAATGTTCTCAACTGTTGATCTTCTACGCCTGTGAATTGCAGAGTAACATTCCACATACCACTGCTGGCCTGTACCATTGATTTGATTCGAAACACAGATCCCATTGAAAATAGAATTTCACTTTCTGTCTTGAAAAAGCTCTGCTGTTGAATATTCGCAAACGGATTCGGTTTTATTGTCGGATCTATTTCTATTTCAAAGAAAACGGCAGCGATCTGTGCCCGATTCAAATTTTGAGAAGCAAATGACAATGCAACAGATTTATCGTCGGTCGTTGACAAAAATTCGCTGACAGACAGAAGACCACCGACATTCTCTTTCAAGTTCTGATTCAATTGTTCTGATGACATTGCTTGTCCACGATACAGAACCATGGGTTGGTTATTCGACTGAGAATGCAATTCTGCCAATTGATTATGAAGATGCTTGATGAAAAATCTAAGCTTATAGAGAACATCGATGTCTTGTGATCTCAGGGCTTTGTTCATCATCTTGTAGAGAAAACATTCTCGCGTGTACCACCAGACTGATTGATCACGATCATACTCTCGATCAAATTCATCAACCACTTGTCTTTGCATCTTGTCGTCCTTGTACTGCTCTCGGCAAAATTCGACCATATCTCGTTTTGCATCATCGCCATGTTCCATACCGATAAGTACGTCGCGAAGTAATAGCGAGTACATAAATGCGGCTTCTTGTTTATTCAAATTGCTGTCGCTTCCACATTTCGAAGAGATCCCGGTCATTGTTAGCAAATTCTTTGAGTATTCTTGACTATCTTGCCGCAATTGTTCAAAAATCGAATCAGCTTCATTGAAAACGCCTTTCACTTTCTTTTTATATTGCAAAACCCACTTTTCATGTTCGGCCTTATTAGAACACACAACGTATATCGATTCCAATTGTGCTAGTTGATAAATTAGAGGAAGGATTTGTTGACCCAATGAATCCGAAACGACCAGAAATATTCTCTCATCTTTGACATTGGCTATAAAACTGATACATTCATTCATATTATTAAATGTTTCTACCGATTCAAAGATGCTCTGCAAGTCCGCGTTGAGTTTATGATTATCGTCTGTCTTGTCGAGTTTCTCATCAAGCCAGACCATGATAACGTTTTCCAGATTCGAACTGTTACTTATGACTGGCATTTTTGCAGTTGTTTTGATTTCTGACTTCCTCTAGTTTCTCGCCACTGTTTGCTTTTGCCTCTACTTTCGTTATGGTTCATTGCTTCCGTATTTTCTATTGACTAACTCTCAAACGTCACTTAGTACAGGTGATTGACAGAAACTACATTGAAACACGTTATTACTCTTTACGTTTCGCAAAAACAACTATTAAATATTCGCAGTATACTTTGGAGCAGTAGTAATTGTACTAGAATAATTTTTTTTATCACACTTGTTTGTACATATATTTCACTTGGTATTTTACCTTTGTTTTATTTTAGGTATGTGAGTGCGTTAGCAGCTGATAAAAAGATAAAGATGGTACCTTGCCAGGATTTTTGATTAGGCAGAAACGAGAAAAGAAGAAAAAAAACGAAAAAAAAGATAATTCTTACACTGAACCTTTTTAAATGTTACTCTAAAAAGATTATCCAGCCCAAAGGAAACCAAGTCTTCGTCCCGAGCTGGAGAAACACGGTATCTGAGATTGCATGTTCTGGATACTCGTGGCCAAGAGCCTCCAAAAAGAAGTTGAATTAAGTCAAAATAAATGGAAAGAGAGTCCTAAAAGATAATAGCCAATTAGACTCTGAGGAAGCGCTTCACTGGATGAAAATGAAAGAGAATAGACACTCGACTCTGAGGGGTTCGAAAATAGCCATGAAAGTCACGAGTACAGTAATCGCACATCGACACAAGAACTTGTTTCTTACAAGATTTCATTACGCACCTAGGATCACGGGCTTCCATGACTCACCCTCACTATCTACCGTCCGCGCCTCCCGATGTACGAAACAAGTGTTTGACCCAAACCTTCACGAAACGCGAACAAGCAGTGCTTGCCTCTCCTCGAATAGTATGTTTCTGAGATCGCAGAATCCGATAGGAGGTTTCTAACCGATAGAATAGGTCCTGGAGGTCACTCATACTCATTTTCGGATTCCTCATGGTCGATTACCTATTCCCCAGAATTTTCATAAATTTATTAGTAGATGCACTATAACGTCAAGACAAAGACCATCCTTGTCTACGTCTAATATGAACCGATATCAACGAACTGAAAATCAAGTATACACTAAGCTGTTAGAAAGCGATTATTTATGGTTACGGTTAGTCGTTCGACGGGTTATTTACGAATACGGTTAATGGTTAATAACCGTAACCGTTGCATGCCTACGTGAAACGCGTACAGCCACGCTCGTTTTGCTTCCTTCTTGTTTTCCACATGTCATTAGCACGCTTGTCTTGTTGTATAGATACTCACAGCTACCTTCCATCGTCCCTCCCCATGTACACACAGTTTCTCGTTTGCATTTTTGCACCGAAAATACCGATACCAAAAATACCGAACTTCGATATATACTGATACCGAAAATACCGACTTTTTTCACTTGGAATTTTTTGGATTTTTTCATTTGAAATGAGATGTTTTAGCGTCCTGAACACGCAAAATGAATCAGGGACGGAAAACAACAGCTTTGTTTGCTTTCTATAGCCAAAGTCTTTCTTTTTTTTCTGTCTACGCATGCTCAAACTACACAGCTGAGTGTTGTTTCTACGTTCTGCTTGTCCAGGATGCTAAAATACCTCATTTCAAATTCAAAAAATTCCAAGTCAAAAATAGTCGATATTTTCGGTATTCGGTATACCGATACCGGTGCATACCTAACTCGAACCAATCTGAATTTCTATAGGCTAAGAAATCCAAATCCTAAAAGGCCAAGCATTCTGAACTCTAAATGGAATAGAACTTTAAAACTCTAAAAGTCTTAAAGTCTAAGAAATTTGAAACTTAAGTTTTAAAAATTTAGACCTCTAAGAGTCTGAGAAATCTGAAATTCTAAAGGTCTTAGAAATTTAAACCTATTAAAAGTATCTAAAAGTCCAAGGAATCTGAACTCTAAAAGTCTGAGAAGTGTGATATTCTAAAGGCTTAGAAAAACAAAACTCTAAGAGTCTTAAAGTCTATGAATTTTGAAACTCTTAAGTTTTAAAAGTCTAGGAAATCTGCAGTTTTAAACGTCTAACCAATCTGAATTTCTAAAAGTCAAAGAAATCTGAAGTCTGAGAAATCTCATATTGTTAGTGTCTGAGCGACCTAAACTGTAAAAGTCTAAGAAATTTAAAATTCAAGGCGTCTGAGAAATCTGATATTCTAAAGGTCTAAGAAATTCAAAAGTCTAAAACTGTTAAACTGTAAGAAATTTGAAACTGTTAAATCTTAAAAGTCTTGGAAATCTGAACTCTAAAAGTCTGAGAAATCTTATATTCTAGGTATGTGAGCAACCTAAAACTGTAAAAGTCCTGGAAATTTATAACCCTAAAAGTCTTAAACTCTAACAAGTTTTAAACTCCTTAAGTTTAAAAGTCTTGGAAATCTGAAATATTAGAAGTCTAACCATCTGAATTTCGAAAAGTCTAAGGAATCTAAAATTCCAAAAGTCCAAGAAATCTGATATTCTATATTACTTAGACTTTAAGACTTTTAGAGTTTTATATTTCTAAGACCTTTAGAATATTGGATTTCTCAGACGCCTAGAGTTTTAAATTTCTTAGACGTTTACATTTTAGGTCGCTCAGACACTTACAATGTCAGATTTCTCAGACTGTTAGAGTTCAGATTTTCTAGACATTTAAAACTTAAGAGTTTCAAATTTCTTCGACTTTAAGACTCTTAGAGTTTTGTTTTTCTAAGCCTTTAGAATATCAAATTTCTCAGACTTTTAGAATTCAGATTTCTTGGACTTTTAAATACTTTTAATAGGTTTAAATTTCTAAGACCTTTAGAATATCAGATTTCTGAGACTCTTAGAGGTTTAAATTTTTAAATCTTAAGAGTTTCAAATTTCTTAGACTTTTAGAGTTTTAAATTTCTATTCCATTTTGATGCTTGAACTTTTAGGATTTTACTAAGAACAGACAAACCTCTTAAGTTTGTTAGTGGCAATACAAAGGAAACAGACTTCTGAAAATGAAAATTACTTTAAAACTTTTAACAGGAGCTCTAAGAGTACATTTGGAATTTTTTGAATAATCATAATCAAGTAGCAAGTAATGGCGGCTATAAAGCACAAAAATTGGACTGATACCAGTGACTAGACATGAAGATGGAATATACGGTGATGAATTATTTCAATCTATTGTTATTAGTTGCAAAAACCATGTAAATTTAATAATGATGCTATGTCAGTGATTCTGAACAAAATTTTCAACTCATCAAACGAATTTGTTTGGTATTAAATAACAGATGGTATAGCAGAAACTAATAATGTAAGAAATTCAGCGAATACATTGGATTTTTGGTCGTATTGTACTTTTCGTATCACACTCATATAATCTTCTGACATAAATCCATATTGTACATCAATTTATTATTTTCAACGACTATAAATAAATAATTGATTTGACTGATAGATATCCATCATTACTCATTAATTTAATTAATTAATTAAATCGTTAATATCCTATTATGAAATGATCGATAATAACACAAATAATGACTAAAAATGAACAGGACAGGAATGACGAGGATGTGATGCTTTAATATGATTTCTTTGTTTTTATCTAGATTCGTTTTTATGATGATGTATTACACGTGTTTCGGCTTTATGCCTTCATCAGAGGAAATCATCTAAAACGAACCTTTGAAAAATAACATACAAGAGATATTGAGAAATCAAAAAAAGCAAAAATAAGAGCTTGCACTTGACAGTGCATATACAGTTAAAATTCAGAATGAAAAGTAAAATGTAGCTAATAAATCATTGGTATATATAGGGTGGCATAACAAAGAAGTGAATGTATATACGTAAACTTGTGACTACTTTCCTTTCTGTATAATATCAAGATGTAGAAAAAAAAGAAAATTAGAATAATGATCTTTGTGTAAAAAAGAAAGGTAATGGAAATGACTTGACTATAGTACCTTGTTTTACTTTTTCCTTTTGGACTGATAATAAAATAGATGACATAAATGTCTGCATGATGTATTTATTTAAAGAAATGTACTTGACTATATAGTTCATATTTGGCATTCTTCTCTTTTCCTCTTTTGAATAAGAAACAAGAGGAAAGGACTGCTAATAAATAGAATAAAATTTGATGAAATACAGTCGTTGATTAAAATATTTTTAAGAATTCAAAGATCCTCTCCCCCTCTCTCGATTCCTCATGCCCGCCCGCCCAATCGTGCATGGAAAGATGTTACTGAGAATGAGTAAGCGAGCAAGAGCAACCTAAGGAGTTTAAGAAGTAGATGTATCTCACAATTATCTTCATTTATGAATGGTTTTAATGTATGAGTCCAATATTTTTCTCAATCTAGTCGATGACGTTCGTTGATAAAGCTGGTTTCGATGATAATGATTTTAATATCTTTTAATGAATGATTCGGCAAAGTAAAATGTTTGACGCAATTTGTATCATCAATATAAAGGTGACGAATAGATGTTAAATGATGATTAAATCTTTTTCTCAAATCAGTACCTGTAGATCCAACATATTGTGCATGGCATAATGTACAGGTGATTAAATAGCATAAATTTGAGCTTGTACAACACACGCTGAATGGAATGTTGAGAATTTGATTTGTGGAGGATGAAATAAACCATTTTTCTTCAATCAAATAATGACAGGTTGTACATCTGCTTGACTTACATGAATAACATCCTTGTGGTTAAATGTCTGATGGTGGAACTACTTCAATAAATGAAGGTGGATATTTCGAACGGGTTAAAATATGTGATAAATTTGCTCCACATGTGTAGACGATGCGATGATTTTGTGGCAGAGTCGTTTTAAATTCATTTTGAAGAAGGTAGCGGAGCGAAAGAAGTTGAGTGTGAAAAGATATGATGATATAGTTGAAATCTTCTTTTTCATTCAATTTTTTGTTTCGTTGAATTAATTCTGTACGGTTGTACAATCTTGTCTGTAGAATTTTTTGCAGGACATTGGTAGGATGATGACCGCGGTCAGTTAAACGAACGAGTAAATTATAAAATTCATTCCATTTTGATGTGTCAGAAGACAATATACGTATTATTTTGTTCGCTAGACTCAATGGAATGTTATTGCTGATGTGACGAGGATGAGACGACGAAAATTGTAAGTATTGAAATGTGTTTGATGGTTTTATAAATAATGAAGTTTCTAAACGATTTAAAGTTCTGTTAATAGCAATATTAACATCTAGAAAATGTACGTTGCTTTAGCTAGTGTCAAATGTGTATTTAAAAATGTCAGTGCTGTTAAGGATGGATAATAATTCATTTACAATTGAAATATCATTGCACATTAATAACGTGAAAATATCATCAAGAAAACGAAAGTAACGAAAGAAAATTGACGACGAATATTTCTTCAGAAATGCATTCAATGCTAATATTTCTTTACAAAATACATAAATGTTCGCATACGGTGGTGCGCATGTCACCTGTAATTAGAAATAGTTGCTTTACATTCAAATTTTGATTTATAATTTCTTTATTTATTTTTTCTAATTCTAATAGTAGGTGATTATTGTCTTTTAAAACGATGTAATTGTCAATATTAAACTCATCGGGTGCATTTTGTTGTAATAATGGTATGAAAGGAGTTAATAATTGTTCTAAATATTTTGAAATATTTGCAGTTAGATGATCAATGCCGGAGATGATTGGACGACCAGGACATTTTTTCTTATGTACTTTTGGAAGAATGTAAAATGATGCACATGTTGATTTTTTCGGTTCTATTTTTTATAAAATATTGAATGTAATTTGCTTTTTATTGAATAATTTATTTAATTCTAATTTGATCCTTTGTTTTGTCTGATTAACTGGATTATAATCTAATTCGTCAAAGAAAATTCCTATCATTTAATTGTTGTAACACTTTTGATTCATAGATTGATGACTCTAGGACTACTATACAAACATTTTTATTAGCTGGACGGATGATAATGTCATCTTGATGCCGTAGTAAATACAATGCCATTTGTTCATTTTTAGCCAAATTTGAAACGAAATCTTTTCGGTTTGAAAAGGCCGATAACATAAATTCATCGACGTTAACTTTATTAGACAACAAGGAAGATGATAACATTTTCATTGTACATTGACGAAATTTGTTTGTTAAATGAAATGGTTTATTTGGAATAAATTTTAAACCTTTAGTTAACAAAGTTATTTCAGATGTTGATAAATTAACATTTCCGATTGTGTAAATAATATCAGTGAGATGAACTGGTTCTAAATCCGCTAAACAACGATCAAATTTTAACGGTTTATTTAATATTGAATTTTGTTAATATTTTAGAGTAATTTCGTTAAATGGTGTAAATTCTAATGAAAGAGAATTTTTATTCTTATTTATTGTTGAGGATTGTAAACAGGAGTTGTCGTTTGATTGTTGCTTATTAACGGTAGCGGCTGAACATATTGCAGTTGTTGTTGCG